TGTCTGTATATTTTAAACCAATTTATTAATTTTGTAATTGTATTCTGTCACTATTTTCCATTGGTTTGAAAAAATTCTTTGCAAAACTATTCTCTGACATTAATCATATATTCTATATACCAAGGGTGGCGAACCTTTTTTGATTTTGACAAATTTTACAAATTAAGTATTTGAAAATTGTTCACGTGCCCAAAGAAAATGATATTTTCTAAGAATAAAAATAAAATTACAGATATATTACTTTATTTTTATTAAATTTTTGTCATTCCTAGTGAAACACAAGCAGCAATCGTTTCATTGGTCAAAAAATGTATTTCCTTCAATTTTATTTAATTCGTTATGGCTTTCACAAACATAAGTTGACGAAAAATATAAAAGCACAAGGAATATTGTCATTTTTAAAATACATAAAATATAATTAATTATATAAATAAAGTATAAATAATATAAAAAAATATAAAATTTATCCCTTTGAATTTCTTAAAACCAACATTTTACAAACAGTATAATTTTTTTTTTTGTATAGTATATTTTAGTTATATTTACGTATAGTTATACTTTTTAGTGTAAGTTTTTTTGATTTCACTTGAACCTTATTTCTTTGAGAGGGAGGGAGGCAAACATTATTTGCTACAGGGCGGCATCGGCCCTTAATCTGGCATCGTACATACATGAACAGTATACACTCTATTATCCGCGGTCGTCTGCAGAACGAACTTACTGTACATATGTAAATGCAAAAAAAATGAATGTTTCTTTGTATATAATTCATGTATACATCATTACGGTTAGTTAAGTTTTTTAAAACATTTCAATTGCAATTAAAAAATAAGTGTTCAAACAAAAAATAATAACTTGTTACTGTTATTTTTGTCGAAAAATAAATAGTATAAATATATATGCCATATATTATATTATATTATATGCATATTATGTGAATTTTTAAATAAAAATAATAGTTATTTTGATTTCATTTTTCTTAAATACTATACAAAATTATAATACTAATTTTTTATAGTAATATAGTTATTGAATTTTCATTTCGATTTGTAATTAGCGAATTATCCGTGGTATTCGCTATTCGTTATTTGTATGCCATGCTACCCAGCTCCACAGTAAATCGAAAGTACACTGTATTATAATTTGAGTGAATTTGAATAATAATAATAATAAATTTGATTTATTATTGATAAAATATTTCAAGGAAATAGTGATCCAATCAAACAAATAATTAAGTATAATATAGCACGTATTTATTTGTATATGAAAATAAAAACCAAATCACTGAACACAAACTGTTATTACCAAAGTAGTGTTTTGAGTTTATAACTGCAGATTTCAAACTCGGAAAACAAAAATTTAGTAAAATATTCTTTGAATCGTTAAATTTAAAATGAAAAAATGGCAATTTTATTTTTCTCTACGCTCCAAAAAATATTAGTTTTTATTTTGTATTAAGTTACTCAGCAGCTCTTTGATCTTTCAGTAATTTTGATTATAACGTTTACAGCGCAATATCCTATGTTTTCACATTGTATACAATCATTGAAGTAAAATGACAATGTAATTTTCTAACTAATAAACTAATTTTTAGCATAACATATTTAAATTAAAAATTGTATAGTGCAGTTAATTTTTCTAGTGAATTGTTACGTATTTTATACCAACATAAAACTAGTCCACGAATGAAAAGAATATTCGAGAAGTTTTTTTTTTTTGTTCAAGAAACACTATATTTTCATAATGATATATTACATATACTTTCATTTTCATTTACTTTTTGCGAGAAACGTTGGGTAAACATAAAAATAAAATAAAAGTGTATCTACATTAATTTCAATTACCTCCCCGCTCTCTCACTTGTTATATTCGCTCCGTGTTAATGTACTTTCATTTCAGGTACCAGGCTTTTAAATTAAAACTGCCGATATGCGTCTGGATTACGTAACATAAACTATTAGTTTCATTAATAACCTTTTAATCTAATTACTCATATACGTCAAGTAGTAAAGTTTAAAATCTATATTTAACAATCACGTATCTAATCTATAAATATATGTGTATATAATTTAAATACCACTCATTCACTCACTGATCAACGTACAGCCAAATGTACCAAATCAATTCATGGACATTTTTTAGGTAATATACTGATGACATACTCGTATGTATAAATACAATTTGATTTTTCAAAAATCACATTTATAAAAGTTGAAACTGTTTTTGGCCCAAGCTGGAGTGTAAAAATGTTTTCAACACTGGTTAACCAATAAAATATATGATGTTATTTATTCGAGCGAGAACGGGTAATTCAGCTAGTATAATGTCTATTATAATAACGACAAGAAACTCAATTGCGTATACATTCATATGGTACCATCAATTATAATATTAAATGTATACGTTTCTATCGCAATTATTGGAAACAGTAGAATTTTGACGAATAAAACTCACATTAATACCCTAACTGTTTTTGAATTAGAAATCCAGTTTTCTTATACATATATTTAAATATAATATTATCTCAATGCCAGATTATTTTATTATAAAACTAATTTCAAAAAGAAAATAAATAAATTGTACATGTAATAACAGTAATAACCAATGCTAATATTCAAAGTGAATAATAATAATAACGGTCAATAACGATTTTAACTGTAAATTAATTTCGGTGCATATTTATAAGTCTTTGAATATTTTTATATAAATTAAATGACATATTCTTGCAAAATTAAACTTAACCAGTTATATAAAAACGATAATTTTTCGTGCCATCAAATTGTACTGAAAACATTTCATCGAGTTAACTACATCGAGTAAAACATAAATATTATTATTTAAATCTTTATGGTCGCTATACATACTCATATATCACAAACTGAATTACTTCACACGCATATTTTCAATAACCTTTTCTATTATACGAGTATTTGCTTAAGTTTGAAAAACAAACATTATGTTACATTGTACACATGAAACACTCACTTTCAATCATTGAACTACAAAATTACACCTTTTAGGTAATAACTTGTTTTTTACAATGCATACAAAATACTCATTAAAAAAATTTAAAAAGCATGCTATAGTAATATATGCTTCAACTCAAATTTTTAATTGGAATTTGCATGGGAAAATCAAATAAATCGTTTTTTTTTTTTTTATAAAAAAGTTTACATAAAATACGAATTCATATTATTTCGTGTAATTGTTTACAGGAGACAAAATAATCACATTATTTCACTACAATAAGTTATGCGTAGTAAACCTAATATGAGAATTGGTGTCAAAAATGATTTATGTATGAAGTCAAAGGTTTGCAAAAGAGTATACATTCTTACTAGTCTTTATATGCGACGAGTTTGCATTGGACTCCATTGCGAGGACTAGGTTATGAAAAAAATAAAGTTCATAAAAACTTCTGTTTGACTTTTTAATAAACAGTATAAATAAACCAAATAACGGAAACCAAATTTACATGTTTGAAATATTTTTACTTCGAATTGACATTTTTGGCAGTACACTTGGTCAAAAGTATATATTTTGAATTCGAAACATATAAATAAATAAAAGCAATAATGAATTCTGCGAAACCAAGCACTAAATATTTATAAAGACAAATGTATGTTTTAAAAACAACTTATCTAATACAGGTTAAACTGTTCTGGAGAAATCCGTTGAACTTTAGACTCACTACATGCTAGTATTGATCATAGAAACTTGGACAATTATGTGAAATCAAACCCTATATTGTAATACTGTAGTATATCATATGAACTTGTAAGTTTTCAATAAATTTGAATTCAAATCATTGGCCTAGGAAGGAATGATTAAACTATACTATGAACCGTAACCGTACTGAATACCGTGGCTGAAACGTAGTACCATGTTATAATATTATCTTATCTTAAGGTAGATTTACTATTTCAATACGACTTTTAATTATAATATTTCATATGATATGTACAAGTTCTGTTGTATATCTGTAAAACTGTGGCGAGTGGGTTCTACTATTTACAAGATCTATATTTTGATGGGAAATAATTCGCTACGACACACAACTACTAATCTTAATGATTTGACGTTTACAAACATATCCCCACAACAATTATCGCATTGGTGTACACGTATTCGACTAAAACATGTAATTTTAAACGTCTAGAATTGTGATGGTTTTAAATTATTAAGGAAGCTATAATTTTAAATTTACAAGGTTTTTTTTTCTTTTATCTTGATCTGAAAACTGTTTACGTTATTTTATGCTAGCTTAGTACGTAGTATAATAAAATTTAATTTGTGCATGTTTATTTGGAAATATTCCTGTGGTATATAATCGGGCAAACCACCCAGACAAACGTCGTTCCGACTGTTTATTTAATTTTCGTATAAAACTGAACTCGTATTATTACTATAACTATGTACAATGCGATACGGAAAAAATATGTCAACCGGATGAAAAAATACTCGGGGATGAATACGAAACCAAAACGATCATTATGTATAATATTTTTAATGTAAACATTTTTATTTTTAAAATATTCATAGTTAACATTCAAATATAAAATGTATTGTTTTTGTGGTGTTTGATTTATTTTATATCTATAAATATGAGCGTATTTTGTTATGGGTAAAATTAGTTTATTTGGTTCAAATATCGACAAACCAAAAATGGTTTATTAATAATTATTGTAAACGACATTTTTATTTTTCAGTTCAGAAAAGTTGACATTTTTAAAAAATATTTATTTATTTATGCAAGATGGAACTCAATAACTCGTTATAGTTTTCGTTTGGTTTCCGTATCCGCTATATTCTTACCGCTTATCAATCATCGATTTAAATATTTGCCAATTGAAGCATTTATATAAATCTGCTGATCTGAATTATTAGACTACATATTACCATAAATGTGAAAATGTTAAATTAAAAATTACTCTAATGTTTCATTAATAATATAACTGTGTTAACTTGTTAAAAATAAAGAAAAACATTTAACAACTTACTTCTCCTAGACTCGTCTCTGTCCAACGCGTATTTGTTAAACAAAATCGATGAAACCTGCTGCATTTCGGGTCCGTCTAGTTGATCGCCATCTGAATAATTTGGATCTGATGGAAATGCGAAAAGAAAAATTTTATAAAATACCATTCAATAGTTAAATAGACACTATGTTTATTTTCATTTTCAAAAGCCTTCAAAATTAACACTTTAGATTGCAGGTAAAATTTGATTTTAAACAATTTACACAAAACGTTGCCATGAATTACAAATTTAATTTAAATCTTAAAAGAATTGTTAGTGCACCGCACGCACAAGCCTTTTGCTCTATTTTATATATCTCATTAAATTTGATTAAAATGCAATATTTTACAGGATGCATATATCAGTTAAATCTACACTACTATACTTATAATACAATAGGAAATATCAAGAACAATCATTAAAAATTGTCGTGCTTAAGAACAAAACAGTTTGGTACATTTTCAAAACAATATGTTTAAACGTTACGTTACCGATATACTTGACTAGTTTTATTAACTTCTGCAAATTTACATAAACCTGTATTTATAATGTGTTTTAACAGTAAATATGTATAATTAAGAGTTTATAATACGCAAAACATACGTTTGTTGTAATTATTGTAATATTTTCTGAAGAGTAAGTATACATATTTTCTTTCAATTCTTATTTTGAAAATTATTTTTACGAAAAATATACTTCGGGTTTGTATTGGATTCGCACCGGTAAAATGAAAATCTATGACTAGGTATAAAGTTTTCGTACCCACACATGACTTATAATTTAATATAGATAAACTCGTTGAATTTATGTTTGTTTTTAAACTAAAACGTTTTACGACTCCGAATCAAAACACACAAATTTAAGACCCTACCGAAAATATTATTTTTATTGATTTATAGTGGCTATGTAAGTTAATTTTGAACATATAAAATCGAATCGAAGTAATTATATTTTAGTTGACAACATTCCCAGCTATTTGTTCGATTGTTATTATTAACTGGCGATAAATTTTAATATTAAACTTCTGTGAAGGGATAAATTATAGCTTCCAATGCATTAGACTATTGATTTTTTCAAATTTTTTTTTTTCCATTCAACAATATCAATAGTTTTAATTTGAACGTAAAATTACCTACATAGTAATAATACCGTAGAAATCAATAAGTGTTTATAGTTAGTAAGTATCAACTGCTCTATTAAAATATTTAATCAAACCAATCGTATATTATCAAATATTTAATTATAGTTTTTCATTATTTACCGTTCGGAGAGGAAAAAAATATAGCAATAAAAACCATTCATTCAAATAAATCATAATACAATTTTGCACGCAGTCTTATCCGTATGAATTAAATTAATGTTTAAGTGCGTGTTTACTATTTTCATTGAAGAAAAAAATGTAAAAAAACATATATATATATTTATATCCACCGCGTATACACATATACTTGTCAGGTGTATAACGCACAGCTCGGATTGTATGATCCCGACAAGGTTTGGATTCATCGATCCAAAACAATTTTACCATACGTTATTGGAACCGATGCTCAATCACTTCATCCGTCCATCCGCTGCACCAACGTATACGAGTATTGCCTCTTTTAAGCGAACATTACCTACAGTTCCGAATTACTTCTTCTGACGTCGCACATATTATCATTCAATAAATATACTTTAAGGAATATCACATAATACACTTTGAACATCGGGCCTCGTCCGAGTTTGATAATAATGAAATTATTCAGATGAATTCGCATTCAAACTGGCATGTACCTACCTGGTACTCGGTATCGTCCATGGTAGTAGTTAGCATTGCTCCGAGGACCACTGTTTTGGCTGGTCGATCTGGGCTTGATGGCCGGAGAGTGTCTACGCAACGGTACGGTATCGGAATACCTGGACTGTTGTGAGTATCGGTTGGGAGCTCTTCCGGGCATTGTGCCCCCAAACATGGCGTATTCTCTTTCCATTTTATCGTAATATCTATATATTGTAGAAGATTGAAAACGTATTGAAAACCATACGGATAAAATACTCTAGAAAAATATGTTACCTGCATTCGGTGTCCGAATAAGACGATCTAGTGTAACAATCGGACATCCCAAGTGCACTGTCTGCCGATCGCTGAGAAATACGCCCTGTTCTTTTTAGCGACGTGGTCCTGGATCTAGCAAAAATATATTCACATTATATTATCTAATACATCTGACTACGAGTATATTAGTCGCAACATTTCAGTGTCGGATCCGAGTTAGATCCGTGAGAACAAGCACTAATTATCGATGGTAAGTTTTAAAACTAATTTTAGAAATTAAAAATGTATTTAAAATTAACGATTCATTTGGAAACTTGTCGAATTGCATAATCGATATGGGTTACGGCATTTTCACCAACCGCATTAGCATATATTATAATCATATGCCATGAAAATAGTAAATTATTCATAATATATAACCAGAGACGTTCTCAGGGGAGGCGGGGCAGTCATCCCTCATGGCCTCTTTTTCTTTAAATTTTTATTATTTATATCACACTGGAAAAATACGTAAATAACAATACATGTATGAAGTTAACCTTCACTATAAAAGGATGTTAACGTTACTGTATGACAACATTAATTAATTAAATGTAATATATATTTTTTATTAAATTAGGATTACATCCTCCGTAAATGCACAGTAAAGGTCGATTCACACTATACGGAACGTCAACGTCACGTCACAGACCGGCAACGTCACGTTAAATGTATTATACATTCACATCAAAACGTCAAACGTAAGCGTCAAATTGTAGGAATCATTGTAGTTTACTGAGGTTGTTTAGACCATATCCAGGCTCAACGATAAACGGAGACATCGAAAAACAAGTATTCAATTATAGATTGTCTCGAGCTCATCGTGTATCGGAAAATGCTTTTGGAAATTTGGTACAAAAATTTAGAACTTATTTTAGAAGCATAAATTTATTCCCTGAGATTCAATTATTTTCCTATTTTCGTCCATATTACATCTTTATGATGATTATCACTGTACTTTTTATGTGCCATATTGTAAAGTTCATCATGTAAACGAATTTTTTCTATTAAATTTTCATCATCCATGATAAAATAATGAAAAAATAACTAAAATATAATTATTTAAATTTGACGGAAACGTTCAGTTGTCACATTCATACTATCCGAACGGACAAGAACGGACCGGTTGCGTCACGTCAAAATATAGTTTTCGATAAACGTTGCTGCTTCGTGACGGTGACGTTACGTATTGATGACGGTGTATGTGAACATTGCGATATAAATACATAGTAACATATTTTGACGTGCCGTTGCCGGTCTGTGACGTGACGTTGACGTTCCGTATAGTGTGAATCGACCTTTAGTCTACGCACAGAATTAACACTATTATTATTATTTTTATCTTATAAAGCGTTAATAAATAATGCGTCTATGCGTATACATGAACCATCGAGTATTTTGAATCGGATGTTAAAACAATGTATTATTGTGCAGCAGAATAACTTTAATTCTCTCGATTTGCGAGCAATTCAACAACACATGATATACTCGTTTAATCGAATGATACCGCACGGACCATTACGTCAAGAGTCGTACGACTTAACACTTTACCGATGGATGTACACCGATGTGGGTCATTGGAAAATGAAACGGTGGCATACTTGCCCCGAATAGGTTAACATGTTACGTAAATCCAAGAGCCGGTTCATCAAATCTTACCCGTGAGATCTGGTGGTGGACCTTTGACTGCGAGACCTTCTCAGGGACTGGACGCGTCTCTGTCGCCTGGTGCACGTGTAACAACACACTTTCCAGTATAGGAACCTGAACGAATGTGCCATAATGTCACCGATATTTGACAAGCACAGAAGCATCAACGGTATGCCGACAATCGCATAAATTATCGTAATTATTTTCCCGTTGAGCGTTTTCGGAGCAATATGGCCATAACCTGAATAGGAAACAGAGAAAATAAGAGAAATGTTTGCACAATACAACAATATTGCGTCATAGCTGCGCCGGACGATTGTACACTCTCCCGATTTTAATGAACTGTAAACTCTCCCGGGTCTACTCCAGTACTACACGACGGGAACATATAAACTCTCTCGGGTATAATTGGACGGTTTTTAAGATAAAGGGCTCAAATCAATTTTTACAGACACGTTGAATGATAGCATTCTAGATGTCATGTGGGATTTATTTATTAGTTTCTATTTTTTTACTTATATTAAAAAGTGCTTTAACTATTTAAACTAATAATTGATTATGAAAAATATTTATTTGTTTACATATATATGCATTTTTTTAATTACTTTTACTATTTAGATTAGATTTATTATAATATCTAGGTGTATTATTTCTTAGTATATATTCAATATATACATTTAACCAATTAAATTAATAACTATGTAAATTGTATTTTATGTAAAACTGTTTATACTGAAAAATTTGTTTTTTTTTTTTATTTAAAAGTTAATCTAAATGAATAATAATAATAGAATAATAATCTTTATATATTTAAATTTCATTTTAAAAATGTCGTCATGGGCTAATAATAAAAAATCGTAAAATAAATCAAATAAGCATTTTAATTTCTTCGGTGAAACCAATTCATAGTGTAACGTTTAAAATAGCTCAGGAAAATTGACATATTTCCTACAGGAAACCATAAAATTGACTCAAGAGAGCTTACATATTTCCTTCAGATAAATATAATGTTGGCCTAGGACAGTTTATACATTTCCTTCAGGTAAACATAATATTGTCCTAGGAGAGTTTACCATAGGGCGAGTTTACTAGTTTTAAAATTCTAGAGAGTTTACCACCATCCGCTGCACTGAGGCATTGTAGTTTATCCTTTATTCTTTAGACGCTGACGATTAATTATTTTAATTATCCATCGTCATGTAGGTTTACCTCTGGCAAATGTTAAATACTATAAAACATCAAGACTGTATTTGTTGAATTCAAGTTGGATATTATACTCATCCAACACGTTTATCTAAACGTCTTTACGCCTAAATGGTTTATAAAATCGTCTGCGAGGTGCGCTGCTACTGATTAAAGTTTAACAACAGTTAAAATAGCTTTTTTATTTAAACAACAAAACCTGCTCGATATTAAACGAAGTAATTTCTGATTTACAATCGTGATAACCATAACAGGTTGACTACAGCAGGAAGTTTAATCTGTATTAATTACAAGTCTAATAAAAGTAGTATAAAACCATATATAATCATAATATAAAATAAACATTACTACGATTGTAATATTGGTAAAAATAATAAGAATAAATCATATTTTTTTGTCACACTGTCAGTAAAATCTATATGATAATCAAATATTTAATGTGTTTTCAGTTCGTTTTATTTAATTTTTTTCTTCAAGAAAATATTGACGTTCAGAAAAAAAACTAAGTAACAATTTACCTAAATTGTATTTCATCATTATCAATAATTGCAACATATAGTTAAAAGTATACAACATTTAAATTTTTCTTGCTTGTTTCCATGTTCATCATTAATAATTATTTTATTGAACAAGTTAACCCTATGGCTAATTATTATACGTTATAATTTTAACATACATTTTTAACATAAAAGGAAGCAATAATAGTATTATTAAAAGTATTATATTAACATGAAAATTAATAATTAATATCACAATTATTCCCCTGATAAATTATAATTCATCATTAAAAAAATTAATTATTCATGAAACTTTTAAAGAACTTTTTTTTTAATCAAAGTAATAAAATATATTTAATCAATATTGTTAATTAATTTATTATTAATTGAATGCAAAAAGCCTAAAAGTCTTTTAACTTTAATGTCATCAAAAAATATTAAGTAATTCAATATACTCTATACAAAAATAAACTATAATTATAATAGAAGTTCTATGACAACTTAATTTACTTACAAAAAAAAAAAAAAAAAAAATGAATAGCGCGTGGAACAAAAAATTTCAAAAACAAAGTAGAATAGACCACAAAAAACTTTTGGGACCATATAAGGTTTTGAGTGTAGAAATAAATCAAGGAAAAACAAAGTATAAGTGCATATCACAGAACGATAATGATGACTCTAGTTTACAAATAGAGTCGTATTTATTTGAAAAAATAGCATCGTACATATATTTAGGGTAAATATAAACAACAACAAAAAAAAACGTACACGAAGAATTAAAAGAAAAAGTAACTAATTTGGACCGATGTTATTATGGCTTATTAAAACTATTTAAGTCGAAATCATTGTCGTGAGAATCGAAGATAAATTTATACACAATTTGCTAGAGATCAGTGTTGATATATAGGTGTAAGAGGTGGGCTACTATAAAAGACAATTACTCCAAATTAAGCACAGCAGAAAAAAAATACTCCAAATAATATTTGTCTCAGTTTATAATAAAAAAGCAGAAACGTACCAAATCAGACACAATAAGGACTGATAAAATATGTATGGAAGACTAAATATACTATTAAATTGTTAAAGCAAGAAGATACAATGTGCTAGACACGTATGGAGAGCAGAAGGAAAAACTATAAAACGTGTCATAGAAGGAAGAATTATAGTTAGAAGGATTGAGAAAGGCACCGACTATGGTGGAAGGAAAAAGTGGTAATGAAAAAATTATAAAAACTATCCAGGAAAATGTGCAATTAGAGGACGCGAATAACAAAGACCGATGGAACGAATAAATGGTAGCAGCGTTGAACCTATAATCCCCGATAAACTGTTAAAAAAGACGAAGAAAATTAAACTTTATAATAATGCTGTACAATATTAATTTGAAATCGTAAACTTGTAATTTAATTTATTAGTTATGTTTGTCAATCCATAATAACTAAAGAGGGTAAATTCAATTAAAAATATCGAAAATAATTTCAAAAAATAAGTTTAATATTTTTATTTACTTTTAAAAGAATATGCTTAATTCAATTTTATTTGATTGTATGATGGCAAACACATAATCGAGACTTTAAACTAATTACGGTGACAACGTGCTTGTATAAAATAGTTCATGATAATTTGTTTAGCCGATTAACTAATTAGTGTCACATGTCAACTAATGTTTCGATTAAAATTAAAATACAAATAATAATAAGTTTATAATAATATCACTGACCACAAAAGTCTTTTGTGGCTTTTTTCCATCTAGAAATATTATTAAATCCCTTTAATCATTTTTTGTTTCTGTCAAAATACGAAAGAAATAAAAATAAAAATAAATAATAATAATTTTTTATTACTTAAAAAATAAGAAGTTTAGACGTCCAGCAATACAGATAGGATATTTTATAACTATTTTTGAATTTCTGTAAGACAACCGCTTTTAAATAGGTATTATAATGAAAAACGTTTCACTTTCATTACTAAGTGGAACGAATTTTTATGAAATAAATACCATGCGTTTATTAAAATAATAAGATATTTGAAATTTGATAGGAAATTTTGCAGTTAAAAACATTCTCATTAAAATAACAGACTTTATTTTAAATATTTTGCATAATTTTTACTTTTTAGATTTTTTATTTTTGCATATTCAATGTATACCTGTAATTTAATAGCGCACATTTTATTTCTAATCACCCGTCGTAATAAGGTAAATATTTATAAATATGATTTTGGCGTCGAATAAAATAGATATTTTTATTCTTTTAAATCTGGATTATTTTTGTCATAGACTTACTAGAACTGATATTATAAATGGGCAAATTTAGGAATATTCTTGGTGAATACGATTTAACAACAACGAGAGATATAAATACTGAAGTTTTAGTTCATTTTCTATTTTTATTTTTTTTCAATTTAAATATTTAATAAAATTAAATATTTAAAATCTGGGTACATTCAATTTGAAATGTATACTATTCAAGAATAAGCGCATATTTCGTGGTGTGTAAAAATATTTCTAGTAGCGTATGTTGAATTATATTTTCACGTACGTAAATCCGTCCTGCAGTGATTACATATCTGTTACGTGTTTACGTGATACGTGGCACGGACACACCACAGTAATCGTTTCAGCGTTCCTGAGCTCGAAATCGTAAACGCGAGATGATCGCAACAGTTTTAAAACGAAATGTGCTAGTGCGTGATCCGTTGCGCGCAGACCTTAAATAAGACTTTATGAATTAAGACATAAGTACCCACAACACTACGGGTATTATTATCTACGTTTTTTTTTGAGGTCGAACGCGATTCGGGTGATAAATTTCTGGTTGGACGTCACAGGCGGACGAATCGATTTCCGTCCGCTTATCATCGGAATGATAAAAACTTGTAATGTAAGCGCACATAACTCGCGTACTGGTAACGTAAACACGTTTATTATTTTATGCGTATTGAGTGACTGAAAGTAACGATACGCACAGCCGTCACAGACGCGCGTCACGTTGTACCTGGACGTGCGCGCACGTGGCGGTGCGGAGGTTCGCAACGGTTCGCGTGTGTGCGACCATCGGAAGATCCCGCGGATCGCTCACGTGTGTTACGCGCGTAAAACCGCGAACGGTGCACGGTAATAATGGACGGGAGGCGACGAAAAAAAAAAAACAATTTAAAATCAAGAAATCGTTTTCCGTTGGAATAAAAATCGTGTACTAACACGCGTGTCGCCCCGACAACGTATAACTGCGCGCTTCACGCTTTTTCGGACAATGATTCTCGAGTTTTCGCGTTTAGGTACACGTCTGGTACGTCTGGTCGTTTCCTCGCCCGTCAACCGCACGGTGCTTTTATTTTATTTTATTCGTCTCGGCATCGCTCACCGGGGTACAACACAATGGTTTAAGAATAATAATTTTTTTCCATCGCGTCTAACTGCTGAGGTACCCGTTAACATTGTACGCCGTCCACGCCGGACGTTCACACGTTCGATACGATTTCGCGTGCGACTACGCGGTCGCGAACATCAATTCGACCAGCGGCAAAACTATGATTGAAG